TGCAGCAGGCGCTTCAGGTCCTCCTCAGTTCCAGCAAGCAGGGTTGTGTCATCTGCATAACGCAGATTGTTGATAAATCGTCCACCAATCTTGACACCACATTTCTCCTCATAGAGCCCAGCCTCCCGGATAATCTGTTCGCTTTCAGTAGGGGATGTAAATGAAGAGGCCGCTTGCTACCTTTTAGGAAATGCACATCTTTAGCTTTACTTGCTAATATCAAATGAATTCTGAAAGTAATTGTACTAATAGCACTATCACAGGGGTGCAAAGAGTCTAGTTGCTCTTTGTTTTTACCATTTATCCATTCAATGAATTTTAATTACAGCAGTAATTAATAAGACAAAATAAATCTCTGCTTTTCAGAAAGGTATTTAGACAAATAGCTAAGTATGTGTAAAAAAATGGTGGTACATGTTTTATAGGAAGAAATAAAGCCAGGGGAGAGGGTGCTCTTCACTGATGTTAGTGCCATCAAGTCAGAACCAACTCGTAGCTGACCCCACAGTGTGTTTACAGAGCCTGTAAATCATATAGGAGGAGACTGCTGTTGGTGGATTCACATCACCAGAGTGGTGCCACCTTTGGGTTAGTGCCACAGCTCTTTCCAGACTCTGCCACAGAGCTTCCTCCTAGCCTAGAGCCATATGAGGATTAAGTCTGAAGGCCTGGGTGATAAAAGCTAACCAGCAAGTCCTGTGCTGCTTACGGTGATTAACATCAATAGAGATACAGAGTATGATCAGTTTGCTTTCAAGCAGAGGATCACAGTGAAGCTGTGGCTTCTGGGAAAAAGTAGAACGGGCATTCTTTTTTTAAAAAAAATTTAATGGGTTTTATTTTTCCTTGTTGAACATTTTCTTTCTCTGCCTCTACTCTCCCTCCCCCGACCCACCCTGCAGTGTACCCCTTGTTCCAGATTGTTTCCATACATATAATTCCCAATCATATATTTCCTTCGGACAGTTCTTCCTCTCATCTGTTCTAATTGGAGATTCTTTTTAAATTTTTTTTAAAAAAAGACTGGTTTCCTTTATCCCCCCCCCCCCCCCCCCATTGTATACCATCGAATCATATCTGACTGGCACAGGAGGAGATTGTACCTCCTTCTACAGCATGGAGCATCTGGTGAATTTGAACCACACACCTTCAGGATTGCAGCTCAGCTTCTTCCTAGACCACCAAAGCCCCAGAGTTTCTTTTCTAAGAGTGTTTCAGGGACCCGCTTCCTGGCTGAGGAGTGAGTGAAGAAGCTAATCATGACTGGCAGCTTGAGCCCGTAGTCTCTGCCCAGTGGTTGGGCGGATGAGGGGAGGAGCGGTCTTGTGTAGAGCACAGGGAACAATGGAATTCTCATGATTTCAGGAATACTTGAGCTGTGGTGCTTGCTTGATACTTGGCATTGGAGAAATGAAAGTCAGGTGTCAGCTCTGAGCCCTTGGAGCTCTGGGACTTCTCTCGTTGGCTCCTGTTAGTGGAGATGAGGTCTGAGATGGGTGATTTTGCCTTGTATATGAGAAGTCCACATTGTCAGACTTGTGTAAATTTGCCAGAGTCTTGTGGATGTGAAGTGTTATCTAGTTAAAGTACAGTCTTTTGGTTTTTAAAATGTTTTATTGATTTGCATATTCATATCACATCATACTTTATATGTATACTTTGTGTTTTATATAATCATCCATGTATATTATATTTTGTATAATTACCATTGCTCTATTTTATGATTACTCCATCTTTTCAAGCCCTCATTGAACCTTTCTCATCACTTCACACTCCCCCACTAATCTCTATGATCTCACTGATTTTTCTCCCTTCTCTTTTCCCTCTTAAAAAAAAAATTATACATATCTATGGCTTTATGCCATACTTTGTCTCATGTGACTAAGATATTTTACTCAGGAGAAGGAAAGTCTTTTTAAATATCAAATTTAGTCCCATAATTTTTCTCCTAACTTCTTTAATGAGCTTTGAGATTGCATGGATTTTACCCATTGTCTGTCTGTGCCACAGTTAAATACCCAAGATTTTTCATTGCAGCAACTGAAACCTTTACCCTGGTGTCTGTTGTTATCAAGAAACTTCAGCGGACTCTGCTGAGCCCTATGCTGTTACCAAGTATGAAATCATTGAACCACTGAACCAGGATCCCTGCTTTCTGCCACCTCTGCCTAAGGAGCTGAATTGACAGCTTCTACCCCCCCCCCCCGCCCCCGCCCCCTATTTTCATTGTTCTTTGCTGTTGAGTTAGAACCAGCTCAGAGATGACCCTCCAGCAGCTTTATCTGAGGTTGTAAATCACATATGAGCAAATTACCCATCTTTCTCCTGCAGAGCAGCTGCTAGATTTGACCCACTGGCTTTGGGTTGGCAGCTCATAACTCCCATCAGTATATATACTGAGATTCCTATTTTAGCTCATCTGGGCTTCCCTTCAAATTATAAGCCCATATTGGAGCACTGTTGGAGTCTTTTCAGTTGCCTTTTAAACTTTTCACTCTTATTATCTCAGAGTCACCTGCCTGTTGCTGAATAGCTTGTAATGAAAGTGCTTTGGTTGATTACGACAAGACACTAACCTCCTCTACTTTTCAGTCAAATTGTTGTTATTGCTCAGATCAAAGCTTTATATCATTTTAATACCACCTGTGCCCTCCCCAGTGTTTTTAGCACTTTGACGAGATCAGTCCCCCAATTCACAGAAAGAACATTGGAGGAAGAAGTGTGTGACGTTTCTTTTGATTATTATCTGTGATATTCCATAGATGGTCATATAGTATTCCATACATCCCACCATCTCACCTTTCTCACACATTATTCAGTGTCATGGAAGAGTACTCATTCCAGTTAACTTAGAACTTTGAATTCTGTGACATTGATCCTGTCCTCCTTGGTTTCTCTCCAGTCTTCAAAAGGATTTAATCTAATGTCATATGGTTAATTATCACAAATATGATCTAATGATTCTGTAAGTAAATTGAATTCTGGGTAAAGTGAAGCTTATTTAAGAGTCTGGCAGAGACCATTATTAAGATACCCTGTATTGACATTATCCCACACTAGGAATACTAATATGTACCTATTTCTCAGAAGAAGCATACAAAGAGTCTCAAAGTTTTACCAGGTTAAACATGATTTCCACAGACTGTAGTATTAAAAAAAGATTTAAGCTAATACAAATGCATTCTTAAATGAACCAAAAGCCTTGCTGGTACTCAAATAAGTATAACTCCCAAAGGATATATGTAGATGTAAATTGAAATGAATTGAGTGTAGCATGAGTCATTTCTCATCCATAATTTCCAGTTGCATGTTTCTAACATTAATACTGTGAGCAAATCCTGAGCCTCTTTGAGTCATCTGGAGTTTTATCACTTATAGGTGTGGGAAGCATCCCCTGACTCTCCAACCAGCTCACCATCTGCTACTTCTTATGACTGAATCCTGATTAAGGTCTTCTTAAGAATACCTTCAAAACTAAAAAAAAGAATACCTTCATTGGACCCACAACCAAGAGAAGTCTACCAGGTTTTCCTCACTTCCCTGTATTGCTAGATTGCCAACACCTTAGGGTTTGAGTACATGTGTTACCACGGCACGTATGCCAATACCAGCAAAAGACCTATTGGACCTGTCAGTTCCTCTGTTTCTCCAAGTAGATATATTAACCTTATCGACAAAACAGAGTAAGCCAAGTGCCTCTGTGTGACACCACCACCAGCCAATAATATGCAAGGAAAATGAATTCATTCTAGAGCCTTCTTTTTTCTTGAGAAGCTGGGACTTGAAGGTGATGCTCTGAGATCTGTGCTCTTAGTCAATAACTGATAACATTATAGAATGCATCGAGGCCCTGAGTTCAGTTACAGTTAAGTGAAAACTAGACAATGAGATCTTGAAGGGTTCACGGAGGTGCAAGCCAAATTTAATAATTTTCCCAAGTTAATGTGGGTTGAACTGAGAAATTGTTAAATCATATCTGTAAGAGGACTAGTTGTTTGGGTTTCTCCCTTTGCCTTTGCTGCCTTTTGTTATTACATTGCATCCTCTTTGTTACCTTTCTAGGTCCAGAGGTTCTCAGATAATTCACATTGTCCTGACTGTGGACAGCAGTGGTTCCCTAGTTTAGAACTAGGCCATTGATTGTACCAAACTGAACTTGTTGAAAACGAATGTTATCAAGTCTTTCTCGATCGTATTAACAGAGCTGACTATAGCCCCAAATGTTATCCTGATAATGCTGCTAACAGAAGCCTGATTCTACCTTGTTCTTTCCCTCTTGAGTGGGCTCCTCAAAATCTCACCAGGTGGACTTTTGAAAAATCTTGCCACCCATTTCTTCTGGGTCTACCCTTGGTTAGAAAAAGAGTTACTGGTTTTAATCCTGGGTGACAATTAATTTTGACCAGAACAGACAAAACCCTAAATAAAAAACTTGGTCAAAGCAGATAACCTTTTTAGTAGAGTCCTTGAGACTCTGGGTTTTTTGCTAGTACCTCAAGAGAAATAGAAAAATCAGTCATTTCTGACACTTACCCCACACTGTCACCCCTTTGGATCTGCCTAGGCCTTTTCTCTGTTCAGCATGAATTCAGTCAGTGTGCCAGCCAGATTATTTATCTAGAACCAAACTAATCCTCTATAAATGGTCTGTTGGGACTAGTTTACCCCTTCTGAGAGGTTCCATGTCTTAATTATTGACATGTAGCAAGTTAGTCTGAGAGGAGAGCTCCATAATGATTTTTCTAGTGCTAACTGTAGGAAAGTTTAGTGGCCTACTGGATAAGAAATGGTGCTGCCAACCCTAAGGCAGGTGGTTTGAATCCACCAACTAGCTCCTCAATGGGAGAAAGATAGTCTCCTCTTAGGTGATTTTTAGCCCACCACAGAGGGAAACCCATGAGCTATAAGTGGGTTCTGATTGTACAATAGTGAGTTGAATTTGTTGAATTGAGTGCTGAGTTTTGAGGAAGAGCATCCTTGTTGTCTGGATCCTAGATTATTCCAGTTAACCCTCTAGATATTACACACTGTCATAAGAAGCTGTAGTATTCCAAATTCAACCTCTTATGTATTGATTAGTTATAATAGTGATTGGTATACATGCACACACAATTTGTTCATACATTCATCTTTGACTCTCTCTGGCCTATTCTCAGTGTGTCTGTGACGGTGATGATAACTAATCGTTATTAGAAAAATGACATTTCATGAAGCAGCACCTTCCCAAGTTACACAAAAGCATCTAGAAACATAGGTGGCTCTTCATGAGCAAAGACTGCCTTGTTGTGGTAGCTAGCTTTGTATTGTCCTCTCCTAGAAGTGAGAAGGTGATTTTATTCCAAGACACAGCGTAGGAAGAGTCATAAGTCCTGTTTCCACACATATTGTAAACAGTCTGGGGAGACTTCTTGCCTTAGAACAAAGAGGGTTTTGCTGAACTCTGGACACTTTCTGGCCATCTCTTATTAATGAGAATCATGGAACTAGAATTGAGCTTGAGCAAACTTGAAAAGGCTATTGAAAATATCTCAGAGGTCACTGAACAGTTAAAGTAGTGGTTAGTCCAGTGCTTGTGCGGCAGCCCAGCGCTGTTATCAGGGAATCAAGTTCTTTCTGTTCTTCCCCTCTGGGATCCTTGTAATGTTGACTTTTTCCTTCTCATGTTTGTTTCCTCATGAGTTTAATAATATGGCTTGATGCTGCCTCAGACATTTCAATCCTAATGAAAGACTGGAATTAGGTGATGAGAGATTTTTCTCCTTTTGCGTTTTCTGTCCCTTTGGGAAAGAAAATCTTTCTTGAAAGTCCCTAGCAGATTTCTTCTTTGATAACTTATTCGTACATACTGGCTCCCAAGGGCACCTTGGAAAGCCTGGAGGAAGGAGAAGGGTTGACATTGTTTGGGAAGAGCCCATTACTTCCCCTGCTCTGGCTGGGCCAGTGGGGCACTGAAAGACTTGTTGTTTGCAGCAAACCATGCCTGGCAGATGTGAAACCTAACGCTATCTGTTTCCATTTTTCTTTATGAGGAATGTACCCTACAGAGCCTTCTGTGTCTACTTACTGTCTGTCATGGTGGAAGTTCTTATTATATTGCTGAATAAACTGGACATACTTTGGGCATGTTGGACGTCAAGTTTGGGAGAGTGGAGGGACAGTGCCGGAGAGGAAGACCCTTAATGAGATGGATTGATTCTGTGAGTGGAGTGGTAGGAAAGAGTATGTTTGAGATGGCGAGGTTGGCACAGGATAGAATTTAGGCATTTAGGGCTCTTGTACATAGTAGGGTTGCTATGAGTCGCAAGCGACTTAATGGCACATAACAACAACAAATGGAGTGGACACTAGTTAATCAGTGACATTTGATTGGGAATTCCTTCGCTGTCCCTAACCCACTGACTGCGGTCCATTTATTTCCAACTCATAGCCACTCTCCACTGGGTTTCCAAGACTCTAAATCTTTAAGGAGGTTTCCACATCTTTTTCCTGTAATACTACTGGTGGGTTGGAACTGCCAACTTTTTGGTTAATTGCCCAGCAGTCAACATTCTGTGCCATCTGTGCTCCTTTGAATATCCAGCAGCTCTCCTGAAAAATGAAAATGCACTTTGAAATGGTGCTTTTGAGGATTCTGATCAATATTGTCTCTTTGAAATTCTCAGTTATTAGAGAACATTTATGTTACTGGGATACGTTATAATACTCTGTGACATTTTAGATATCAGCAAAATTAAAAGTCTTTTTGGTTTTGTTTTAGCCATTTAGCCATTCTCACCTTTGAATTTTAAAGACATTAGGAAGTATCGACCCAATTTTAATATACCTAGGAAATACCTGGGAGAATTTGTTAAAAGATGTTCATTTCTAGGTCTGCCTTGGACGTTATGATGCCTTAAGTTGTTCTTGGTGCCTAGAAGTTTGCAATTTAGAAATAATGCTCCAGGAAAGCCTTATGGAGATAGTGTGTAGACTGTATTTTGAAAAATACAATAGCAGCACTTTAGGATATTTTCATTATCTGACTTCAAAAAGGTTGAGTTCTAAGTATTCATAATACCGCTTAAAGAAAACCCCACAAACTCTGCCATCAAAACAGTATAGACTCATAGGTGACATTGAAGCAGATTTCCAAGGAGATTAGTAACATTAGTAATGGTAATGAGGAATGTTTATTATACTTTACTAATGACAAAGACATGGCAATTGAAATGGAGATCTTAGAAATGGAAACACAGAGAAGGAGGAACAGCTGTAAGGAGACACTAGTGATTGGAACATGGATGTGAGAAGCATGAATGTAGGAAAATTGGACATTGTTAAAAAAGAAATGGAATGCATAAGTATTGGCGAAATGAGATGGGTTGGCATGGGACATTCTGAATCAGATTATCATATCATTTACTATTCTGGGGATGAAAAGGTGAGAAAAAGTAGGGTTGGTGTCATAATTAAAAAAGTCATTTCTTGATCTATCCTGAAATACAGTGTGGTGAGCGACAAGAAAATATCCATACGCATACAAGGAAGGCCAGTGAATACCACTATCATTCAAATATATGCACCAACAACTAGAGCCAAAGACGAGGAAATGGAAGGTTTCTACCAACTTTTGTAATCAGAAAGTGATCAAACATGCAATCAAGATGCATTGATAATAATGGGCGACTGGAATACAAAAGTTGGGAACAGGGAAGAAGGATCAGTATCTGGAAAACATGGGCTTGGTGAGAGAAATGAGGCTGGAGATAGAATGATAGAGTTCTGCACATTCAATGATTTAGTCATTGCAAATACCTTTTATAAGAAACATAAATGCAGGCTATACACATGGTTCTCACCTGATGGTGGTATGCATAGGAATCAAATAGATTACATTTGTGGAAAGACTCGCTGGAGAAGCTCAATAACAGCAGTGACAACCGGGCCAGGTGCTGATTGTGGGACAGACTACCAACTACTCATATGCAAGTTCAAGCTGAAGTTGAGGAAAATTAAATCAAGTCCATGGGAACCAAAATTTGACCTTAAATCTGACCCACTCGAATTTCAAAACCATCTCAGGAACAGGTTTGAGGCCTTGAGCACCACCGAGCGTAGACCAAATGAGCTTTGGGAGGATATCAAGAAAATTGTCCGTGAAGAATGCAAAAGATCATTACAAAGGATGAAAAAGAAGAAAAGACCAAGATGGATGTCAGATGACACTATGAGTATTTCATTAGCGCGCCAAGAAGCCAGAGCTGAAGGAAGAAGTCAAGAAATCGAAGAGCTGAACAAAAAATTTCAAAAGGCAGCTGGGGACGACAAAGCAAGATTATTGTAATGAAATGTGCAGAGAGTTGGAGTCAGAAAATTAAAAGGGCCAAACTCACTTAGCGTTTCTTAAGCTGCAGAAGTTGAAAAACAAATTCAAGCCATGGATGGCAATACTTAAGGATAGTTTGGATAGAATGTTAAATGATCCAGGAAGTATCAAAAGAAGATGGAAGGATTACACAGAGTCACTGTATCAGAAGGAATTGGCTGACACAGAGGAATTTTATGAAATAACATATGAGCAAGAAACTATGGTGATGGCAAGGAGGAAGTTCAGATTACTCTGAAGGAATTGGCAAAAAACAAGGCTCCAGGAGGTGATAGCATACCAGTTGACATATTTCAACAGACAGACACTGCCCTGGATGTGCTCACTAAGTTGTGTCAGGAAATCTGGAGGACAGCCAGCTGGCCAACTGACTGGAAAAAAATTGATATTTGTTCCCATTCCAAAGAAAGGTGACCCAACAGAGTGTGGAAATTATTGAACACTATTATTAATATCACATGCAAGCAAGATTCAGCTGAAAATTATCCAAAAACGTTTGGAACAATATGTCAACAGAGAACTGCCAGATGTACAGGCTGGATTTAGAAGAGGTCGTGGTACTAGGGATATTATAACTAATGTTAGATGGATCTTGGCAGAAAGAAGAGAATACCACAAGAATGTCTATCTGTGCTTCATTGGCTATGCAAAGGCTTTTGACTGTGTGGATCACAACAAGCTGTGGCTGACTCTGAGAAGAATGGGAATCCCAGAACATTTGATTGTGCTAATGTGAAACCTATACATGGACCAAGAAGCAGTCATCAGAGCAAGGAGACACTACATGGTTCAAAATCAAGAAGGGGATCCGTCAGCGATGTATTCTGTTTCCATACCTTTTCAATCTGAATGCAGAACAGATCATCCGAGCCGCTGGGCAGTATGAAGAGGAATGAAGCATCAGAATTGGTGGAAGAATCATCAACAGCCTGCGTTATGCAGATGACACAACCTTGCTTGCTGAAACTGAGGAGGACCTGAAGTGCTTGCTGCAGAAGGTCAAGGACTGCAGCTTCCTATATGGATTGAATCTCAACATCAAGAAAACAAAGATTCTCACCACTGGGCCAATTGGCAGCATCAG